TGAGACTGTTGAATTTTACTGAAATAAGCTGTTTTGTGTGCTAGTTAACCAGGTTTCCACTGGCTTAAATCAATGTTAAGTAAGATTTTGGTTAGAGGACTGGACAGTGTTTTCGGGAGTGGTTAAACCCTTTCACAGGATTCACTGTGCGTATAGCTCTTCGTTCTCAGGTTGGTCTTTTGATTAAACTATTATGCATATTTGTGAATAAACACAGCACCTGTTGTATCCCACTTAAACCTGCAGTTTGAAACTGACTAAAGCCAAATTCTAATGTCTTAAATCAGTGTGCTGAAAGGAAGGTAATGAAGAAGAAATGTTTTAGAGTGCATGTGACAATACAACTGACCAGGAGATGGCACACACCTCGCAAAACAGTTCAACCTTGGGTTGTTCAAAACTGTAAAATCCAAATTAAGTTGATTATAAAAAACACCACCACAAGAAAACCCACAAAACCTCTCCCCACCCCCGAAAAAAAAGGCAAACCAAAGCCCACAAAACCAAGAAACTGGTGCAGTATCCTGAATGTAAAGGATATAACTTAATAGCTTATTGAGCAAGTCAGTAGGTCAGAATAGCTGAACAGACTGTTTCTGATTAGTGTTTTAAATTAATAAAGTGAGGAAGTGGTATAATTAAAATCTAAAAATATTGCCCCCCTTATTTGAGTAAATAAATTCCAGCAGCCTAATTGAGAGAGCTGGAGGAGTTAATTGTCTGTCTCCATCAGAGATTTCTCAAACAGATCTCAGCTAATAAACTTCTTACGTGTTTCAGTCCTGCCAGCCATGGGTTTCCAGGGTGTTGGGCTCTATTCCATACTTGTTACCATTTTATTGATAAATGAGGTTTGGATCATTCAGTTACAGCTGGAATTCATGTAATTCTTAGTGGTTAGTGGTTGAAGCTTTTTACTTGTACAACTCTGAAGTCAGGCAAAGCTTTGCTGGCATTTGCTTGGAGGTTTCACATAAAAACACCAAGCCTCCAAACAGTTAGGTACTGATTCCGAGCTTTTAACAAGAAAGCAACAAAATAAAAATAACCTGTCCAACAGAAGTCTTAACAGGCACATTAAGATGTGTTTTGCCCTTGTTGGCAGATCATGCTGTGAGGCCATGTAGGGAATTGAGTCAACTAATCTGTCATGGAAACTTGTAGTGGGAAGAAGAGAGCAGGTCAGAATGAGCAGTTGGGTGGGGAGAAGGCAGAGCTACTGATTCTGCCTCAAGAATGACAGAAAATAATTGTTCCCATGCTAATCTTTGTTGTTTTCACATGTCAGGTCTACAATATCCACTTAAGTGTTCAGTGTTTCGCTACTTCATGTTCCTGCTTTTTTTTCTGTAGTAGTAAAGGAAGATCTTACATCACAGCAATGGTTTTGCCTTGGGATGTTATATATATGTATGCAATTATCGGTGCATGGCCTTATTTTCATTCATGAGATGTTTTCCTTCCAGATTAAAATAAGAGGAGTGTCTAAATGACACATTTTCCTTACAATATATATGTCACTAAAACAGTCTGAAAACATGGAGGTAGAAAAAGCAAAGCATTTAAAAAAAACCCTTAGTGATTATATTTGCAGGTGCTGATATTCAGTAAGATGACTAGCAGCTATGATTATTCTATGTATATACATATATACTTTGTGTTCTGGAGAACCCTCCACTCTGAGGTCCTTAAGTGGAGGATTTGTTTGCTAATGAAATTTGCCTTTTATTCTATAAGGCTACTGTTGATTCATAAAACCAGAGGAGAGACAACCACAAAAGCAATTCTGGGATATTCTGCTGAAATCTTGGAAACATTGCCTTCCTCTTTGTACTGAAAGACAACGGAGACTGGAGTTGCTTGTACATGGTACAGTTACTCTCTTAATCCTTACTATACAATGCATTGATTACTGATCTAAGTGCCAAATAGTTTGTACTATAATTAGCTGCAGTTCTCACCAGTCTAGATTTATTAATTATTTTTTTAATGTAAGAACAGGTGCCTACTGCACTACCAAAGGACTGTTATTTTGAATACATTGTTGAGGAAAAATACGTACCACAAGTATGTTAGAAAAATAAGAAGGTATTTTACGAAGTTATACAAACCGTATGCAAGTCTTTACACTTGAGTGAGGAGGAATGATTTTGTCATTTGCAACGTGAGGAAAGTCTATGGAGAGTGCCCTCACTTTCCCAAAATGCTAGATGTGGAGTCTGCTTAATAATAACTTACTACTATGCCTCACACTTTAAAATTGACTTTTCATTTGTGTAAGACTGACATATTACTTTTCCTCTCCAGGAGACAGATAAATAACTATGTACTAGTAACAGTGCCATTAAATACTTTGTGGACTGGAGATGAAATTTAGTAAGCTTCAAAGTTGAAAAGCTGTAGGGAAACAGAAGGCCACGAACTTCCAGTTAAGTTTGTAATTTTTTCATTAAAAAAAAAAAAGAATTAAGAAACAGACTCCAAGCTGAAGACATGAGTTTATTGAATGTCAGAGAGATTTGCATTTAAATTCAGAAAAAAAAAGGCCACCAATACATCCTGAACAGTTTCTATATGAGAGTCTCCAGTATACTTATAATGCAGTTTACAAAAAAAAGATACATCTAAATATGAAGGTTATATTCCACTAAAAATATGCACAATTAGAGAGTCACTTCATAAAGAGTTGTAGCTCAAAGTCAGAACAATAAATTACTAGGATATACGTTTATTAAAAGCTTTATTTCCATGTAAACTTCCATCCTATTTAAAAGATCAGACAAGAAAATAATTGGTTTCCAGTAAACAAAATATCTAATCTATGGCAGTTAGCTGTGTCTTTTAACATAGAATACAAATCTAGGCTATGGAAATTACCTTAGGAGTTGCATAAATAGCTATGAATGTTTTTTTACAAGTCTGCTTTCTTCAAACTATGCCTATTTTTCCTGGTAAACATAAGTAAGCTACCATCTAAACTACTACTGGTTTTAATAAATTTGCCAACAAGTGTAGCAGTGTTCAATGGTACTGAAAGCAGCTAATGTATTGAAACATCATGCACCTTTTGGCTTGCAGTAGGATTTCTTTTTGGTACAAATTAATTATGTAACAGGAGAAGAAACTATCATGTTCTGGGAGATATATAGTATACTAGCAGTTATATAGTTTCTGTTTAAAATTCCTGTGGAGGACAGAAATGGATAATACCACACTTGTATTAACAGCAGCTAAAATATAACCTTTATATTAATTTGTATTAATTCTTTTGCCCATTAAAACACTCTAAAGAGATTATAATTAACAACAGGAAATAAAAGTATTTCAGTACCATAACTGAGAAGTAGCTTATATTAATCATATTCAGTAACAGTACTCAGGTATTAAAATCTGAAATTTCCTTCACCACCCCCCACCCCCAACAAAAATTAGTTTAATAATTCTTCTATGGATTTATGGAAAACAAAGCCTGCTTTTCTTAATTTAACCTATTAAATATGGCCTACTTATACTTCAGTAAAAGGTTGTCAAACATCTCAGCAGAATTTGAAGCATTCAGGGCTTTCAGAAACGGCCATGCTATTTGTATTTTTATGTAATCCAAGCCTTACTGATAAACAAGTAATCAGAACAAAATTAAGGTAATTTGCAGTTTACAATTAAGTACAGTAGCGCCAAGCCTGAATTAGAACTATCACCTACCACATGCCTTTAAAAATAATCTTTCATACTCCTCAGTGAAAATTTTAAGGGGGCTTTCATCCTTCTTGCCTGTCAGGCAAATCATTATTTGTGCAAATTTAAATACAGTACATTGACCTTAATGTAACAGTGGACAGAGAGAGAAGGAAGAAATGTTCAACAAATCTGTTGCACAGTAAGACTTTTTCAGAGTGCGTCTACAATAAAGTGCTTCTCTTAATAAGTTATTTTGATAATAGTATAGATGTTTACCTAGCTTTAAAGCTTGAAGTGCTTAGTAAATGGTTTAATCTCCCTGTACCTCCCCAGTCCAGCAAGGCACATTCAAAACACAAGCAAAGCACTAACTGTGAAGGATTAAGCTACAATAAAAAATTCTAAGTGGTAGTAAACTACTGACTAGGTTTGTAAACAGTACTATCCCATTGAATCTCAAGGTTCATGCATTATTTAAGTGAGTTTCTGTGGAAGCAGCTTTTGAACTCCAGACGTAACAATCAAGCCAGCTTTCTTGATAATACACTACTGTGCCTTAGTATTTTAATGTGAAATCCCACTTCTTTTGTCACTTGCATGAAAACAGATGTCACATTTCATGCATTAAAGCCTTTAGACTTCATTTACACTTAACAGAACTGATCACTGGCTCCTTTAGATCTATTATGTTTCAGTTGGGGTTGTTTGTTTTTGTTTTTTTCCTTTTAAAGGCATATGAAGTTCACCTCTGCAGTTCAATCTTATAATGAAATTATGATCAGTACTCTTAAGGTTTTTGTTATGTTAAAACATAGCTGTGATATCTTGTGGAGGCTTGAACTTTGACTTAATAATTTTGACTTGATAGGAGTAATTAGCTTCTGTAAGACTAAAATGGCAGGTAGGATCAAATTGAGTAATTAATTTCTTCAGGTTCATTAAGACCAACTTGCAGAATCTTCTTCAGAAAAGAAGTTATGAACAAAGTGTATCACCACAAATGATCTCTTGTATGAAATACTGAAATCTAACTCATTTCATCATGCTTCCAAAAATGTTTCACATAACTTAAAGAGCAAGCAATTCCACTACCATCAGGTGAAGCTTACACAAACAGTCCAAGTGCTTGCACAAGGTATACAGAGCTAAACATTGCCTTCATACCACAGAAGATGAAGCTTTGTGAGCAAGAGACATTCCATTACCTTTCAAAAAAAGACCACATTGAGTTCATTCTGGCTTTCACAACTCTTGCAAGAGAGCAAACAAAACCAAATATCAACACCAGAGCTCCAAGCTTTCCTCTTGTTAGTCATTCTAGTCTAGCGTTTTATCACCACCTGCTCATACGCTCCAGATCCTGCTCTGAAAGAATGTTTGGAAAAAGTTAATTCAGTTGCAATGTAATTGGAAGCTAAACAGCAAGAATCACACATCAACAAATTTACTGTTTGAAATATCCCAACCAACCACCCCCCTAAAAAAACCCCCCAACTGAACAGCTAGTACCGGAACAGCTACATGTAATGGGTGGAAAATATACAGAATTACCATGCCACCGAGTAACCTAGATTTTAATGCACTAAAGTGTTTTGTGTTATACTGCAGTCAAAATGAATTCTAAATAATGTTACTGAGAAGAAGTTATTTTGGACCTCTCTTTAGTTCCTTTAAATATTACATTTTGGCTACCCCTCTGACCCCAGTTGTATCATATGCAGATAACAGTCTTTACATATATTTACACATAAACAGATAAATGTATTACAAAAAACAGTGATGGTCCTACAATAAGATTCAGGGAAAACATCTCTCCTAAAACAACTACAAGAAAATAATATGAAGCAGATTATTGAAGAAGAGAGTTTAGGGCTACAAGTAGTTGGAAGATGGACAAGACCTTGAATCAGGAATAGTGTAGTATATAGAAACAGAAGGAGTTGTCAGCGAAATTAAAGTGAAGAAAATTGGGCTTCTTATCAGGATGACAAAAGTTGGGTAAAGGCAGATGTGTAAAAAACCACTTAAGACTTTCTTCCAGCTCCAGAGAGTGACACAGTAAGTCTATAGAGCTAAGATGTCAAACTGGTGCCTGTTTCCTGTGTCCATACTGAAACACTATTCAGCTCTGAAAACTTTGGAACTGAGACTCTTGAGAACCTCTGAAAGTTACAGTTCTAATGGCTGGCACATCAGTTCTGTTTTGGAACTAATCTATGTGCTTTGTTTTAAATCCTGGCAATTATTTCTTTTTGTGCTTTTAAATGATACAGAATAGAAAGATAAAAGGATCAAGATTGTATATACAGAACAACTGCTGTGTAAGATGCATTTTTGTTTATGGACTAGTTGTTCAGGCTACATACCTGTTAGGTAAATGATGGCTTCCAAAAGAAGTGCTTCCACCGGGACCCACAAATAATCTTAAACCTTCTTCTAAAAAGCAAGGGAATTACCATATATTAGCTTCCTTTAATGTTGCCTTAGTGAAACTACATAACTTTAAATTTACCAGTTTTGTAAATTGATACTCCTAGATGCAAATATTTTAAGTAATGAAGAACCAGACTTCACATGCTGTAGGTTGGAGGAACTACCTTTGTTGTAGATTTACTCCTGCTTTTTTGTTTTCGGGCTTAAAGTAATTCTCTGCCAAAGTTACCTGAGTCATGCAACGGTCTTTTCAACTTCTGAGAGACAGGATAAAGGAGAAAATCTAGTGATCCAAATGCACAGTGCTTATGGCTACAAGCAACAGGGACTATGAAGAGAGTGGATTCTCCTGAGGCCTGTAATGTGCATCAATTTTCCTTAAGCTTCCTCATTCATCTCCGTACCTTCTGCGCTTGAGTCTAAACTGAAGTCTTGACTCTGGAGTATTTTTTCGACTATATCATCAGCATCCACTCTGGTAGCATCGACCCTCTTCAGCTGTGACTCCACAGAGTCTTGCTTTACAGGATGTCTGCAAAATTAAATCTATTTAGAGCCCTTAGAAGTGATACAGTAAACTGTATTTTACTTCTGCTACATAATGTTGTCAAGTGTACCTGCAGACTTTTTCTGATGGTGCGTCTTTAACAGATGCATGTATATTAGTTACTTTTGGCTCAGACTCTTCACATGGCTCCAGAATACTTCCAATTCCTGTTGAGGTACTACCCTCTGAGGTGTTTCTTCTGTGAGAGAGTTCAGATAGACTGGATGATCTAGAGTGACATGTGCTGTATCCTGTTGGGAAAGTACAGGAGAGCTAGGTTAGGCATGTTCTTGAGACCCAAGGTCATTACTTACATTTTACCATCTTGAAAGCAGAATTTGTTTTTTCTTGTAAAGAGACTTCAAAAGCCTTGGAATGCATGTGCGTACATCAGCTAGGCAATTCACTTTGTGTCTTGTATGCTAGCACATGCTGTTTTCTTACTCTTGCTTCCAAACAAATATAATGACTTAGTGTCATTACTTCCACTTCAGCTTTTAGAGCTAATCTCCATTTCTATGTTACTTGTTTTTACACAGGGAAGAGGTAAAAATACCATTCAGATGTATCATTAATTGGACGGAGCTAAGGGAAAAAGCTGTCTCACATCTTAACAGATAATTCTTTGTGCTTTTAAGAGGAAAAAAATGTTATCCTCCTCACACCTGAAATGCCTAGGAAAACCCTTTCAACTTCCAACCTTTTTTTAAAGCACATAAAGTATACTTATTTTCTACAGTCTATAACTGTGAAAGAAACCCCAAAAACTCATAACAACATTGTTAACAACTACCTGACAGTTTTGACTGCTGACTTGCATAGCTTGATGTTCTGGAATGTCCGCATGCACCAAGTTCATCTGGGACTGAGGCACTCTTTGATGAGACATCTGCAACATGTGCAAGTCAGATACTGTTATACTGTTGCTAAAGCCAGCTTTATTATTACTTGGTCTGCAATTGTGATTGGACTCAAATGTCAGATTTCCCAGAGGGATTTGGGGTTTGACACTGGTTTTCTACAAACCCTTTGAAAAATCAAGTGCTGCAAAAATACCCTGGATGTTAACAAATATGCATTCCTTTAAAACAATATAAAAATATAATGTTTCTGTCCAAGTAAAACAGAGAGTACCATTGGGTTAGAAATATTTGTATAAGATGTAGTTCTAGATTTGTCTACTGTCAACATTAAAGAGATCACCATGCTTCCCATAGTATTATTGTAGAATGGTGTGCTAGATGTTTTCTGGCTGAAAAAGTAACTGTGGTTAATACAACTTAAGCTGTGTGTAGTGGAAACTAATAAACTATGTAAGAATCTGAAGCTTGTAAAAAACCACAGAAAACAAAATACCCCACAAAAAGACCCCACCAAATTTCAACTTGTAATGAAGTGGTTTAATAGTATTTTTTTATAATAGTCTAAATTTCAGAGTAACTACTTCAATTTTAAACAACACTTAGAACTTTTACCACTCAGAAGTTACAAATATCCCGATGATTCGTAAGTTGAAAATCAAGGCCAAATTAAATGCTCACTGAAAATACAATTCCAAAGCAATCAAGTAATGTGTCACACAGAAAATGTAAGATTTAAAATGTTAAAAAGAAGGTAGACTATCAATCCAATTTCTGATCTTTCTTTCCATTAAATAAACTGTTACAAAAGTAAAAATGAGAAATTCCACTGATGTTATCTAGGAGAGTGTGTCTCAACAAATAACCGAAGAAGGTCCCTTTGTGGGCCAACTATAAGCATCCCTTTAAGATTTTGTACATCTTCTTGAAGCTATGAAGCCAGTATAAAAGAATTGAGAAATTAAGAGCATTATTTTATACCTGCTATGCCCAGATGTACTACTTTTAAGTTTTCTCCACCTTTCCTGTCTTCATGCAAAGATTCTGATTCTCCAGCAATTGCTATAGACATTGCTGTGGAAGGAGGCCTGTAAGAAAAAGATGGTTACGGTGTGTTGTATTTCTGCTGTAGTCCCTTCAAATTGATCGGCACAGATTTTTCTTTCAAGTAAATTGGCATAATTCGTACTGTGCTCCAAGTTAAAGGGCTTGTAACTTTTTTTCTGAAAACATGCTGCCTAACCCCCTGTTAAAAGAAAAAAGGAAAATACAGAAATAAAAAAGCTGAGGACATTTTACAGACTTAGTCTACTCAGCCCTCAGCCCTTCAGGTTACTGAGGTTCCTTGGAAAGGCTTTTCCTTTTTTGATGGTTGGTGGAGTGACATGTGTTTATTTTGAGGTTCTTAATTATTTTTTTAAGTGTATGAATCAGACTAATTAATGTGCTAAGAACATACACAATCCAGTACTTCATGGAATATATGACAAGATGGCAAGTTAAAAAAACCAACACAGTCGGCCTACTTAGCTTGTGCACTGTGATGTACTTTGTTTTATCTCTGTTACAAGACATGAGGCGATTCTGGGCTGATAACTCAATGGAGTTATCTCTCCTAAAAATGGGGCCTCTGTTACCATCTCTGTGTATTCTACTCTAAATTCTACCTCCTGCAAAATAAAAAGCATCATGTACAACATAATTTAAATTTGGCTCAATGTTTTAAAAGTTTTGTGTAACGCTTAAATGCTTGTTTCAGTTTATACCAAGACCTAAAGGGATATTTTTAAATGACTAAACCTCTTAAGTTTGTGTTTTGTTAGTGCAAAAGACTCTAATTAGAAAACGGCAAAGTGAAAGTAATCTCTTGCAAACAAATACAACTAAAATACGTTTCAAGATGTCACCTACAGTTTTTCTAATGCTTTGTTATTTTTGACTTTGGGAACAGACTATTGGTCTGCATATTTGGATTTTTGTTAACATCTTTAGATTTGACATATTCAATAAATTAGTCACTGTCTTTAAGTACAGTAACACATCTCCTTTTATGTTTTAAAGTAAAGAGAGAAAAAGTGCTTCTAGAAATACAATGCTTCTGTGACTTATCTTCCTAACTTACTTATGAAAGCAAGAACTGAATGCTTTCAGGCATGTCACCCCAGATCTAACACCAAGCCTTCTAAGATACTTCATAAAATACGTAGCTGATTCCAGATTGTGTAATTGCTTTAAGATTTTTTTTTTTTCTTCTGCTAAGGACATCTGGATTAGATAAATTTTTTGTTCTGTTTGTGTTGAAAGTTTACGTTCCAGGAAATGGTTATATCATCAGTTTGGAATAAAATGCCAAGTCTGAATAATTTCAGTTAGAGATTTTTTCCTAGGGAGCTAGAAAACTATTTAGGTACTAATTTGAACTTCTTCAGTACCAGCCAGTAAGAACAGAAACACACTGTTTATCAGTATAAAAGATTAATGATTAGTTAGATGCCTTTGAGAAATTGTTTATCAGTACCAGTGATGTATTTGTTAGTAAGTCTGACTCAAATGTAAATTAAGAGGGGTTAAATACCTAGAGGTACAGAAAAGTTTTGCCCAATCAAATTCAGATAATACTATCTTACTGTTTATTCAGTAAGCACAAGATGAGCTTTTACAGCATTCTATTCTTTTTGAAGGTTAGGAGAGCAGAAAGGGTCTTAGTGGTGCAAGTGGACATTGAAGAGTTCCTGTGGTGAATCATCTGAGCTAGACTGATGCAAGCACCATTCTCAGATTTCCTCAGAAACAATGTTAAGGACACAGCCACAGCAATAATGCATGAAGTCTCAAGTTGCTACAGAAAACAATTCTTGATTGTCGTAATTACACCTGAACCTACCTCAAACTAGCTGAAACCTACAAATCGTGAGTTACTTCATACTTGTACTTGAGACTGAGTTAAGAGATCAGTGCTGCTTTTCTTGGAGCTGCAGCCTCATTTCACTCTAAGTGCAGTCTTTTCTACTTAAGTAAGACTTGAGTATCTGTTCACTGCTACAGATTAAGCCTGTATGAGATGATTATTCCTATTCATTGGATTATACAGAGGGACATTGCTTACATTAATCTGATAGAAAATGAATTTAAATTCAGTTTATAAATTCAGTTATATTTTGAATAAAAATCCTAATCCATACTGAAGTAAAAGCGTGTATCAGTTTGTAAGCAACCACTACGTCTTTACAATGGGAGATACCTTTGATGAAACATAAGGTCTGAAAGTATAAAGGAAAGTCGAGAACCTACACAAAAAGTTGAGATTGACATAACAGGAGTGAAGTTAGCAGTTTTTCCCAGATTGTTTTCCTTAAGCTCATTTTCTTTTCAAGTTATATGTAATCTTGGAATTCTGCCTTAGATTCTTTTTGAAAGGGCCAACATGAGAACAAGCATGTTGTCTCAGACTAAAGGGCTGTCTAGCGTTGTGTCCTGTTTCTATCAGCAACAAACAACAGATGCTGAGAGAACATGACACACATAGTAATCTTTCTCCTGAATATTCTTTCAGCATCTCTTCATCAGTAAATTAAGTATTTCTTGAGCCTTATGTGATGTTTTATGCTGAATAGCCCTCAATAATTTTTCATTCAGGAATTTGTCTTAATTCTTTCTTGAGCTTTTAGTATTCACAATGTGGAGTAGCAAGGAGTTCCACACATGTAGGAAGAATTTTGATTCTGTCTCCTGCTAGCTTCAGAATAACAGTGTGGTCAATAAAATGAACTGAATTAAAAATTGAGTTAAACTAGAATCAAATTTATTGTGAAGGAATTAATTTAATCGACCCCTCCCTAAAAATCTTGTGACAAGTAAAATACAACTAAGTTGGTTTAAACCTGGTCTAGGCAAAATTGCTATATACTGTCATGTAGAATTAGAAAAGATTTATATTAATCTGAAAAGCACATACACTTTGAAGAAGCCAATTTACCAACATTTTGAATTACAGAAAAGCAATGGCATTAAGAATGTTGGCAAGTACTGAGGAATTTTCCACACTGCATTCATGCAATCAGATTCTATACATATCTCCAAGCCTATCCTTAAAATGAATGGCTTTCAGGTTATTATAAAGTATCTCTTATAATAAAAATTATGTGGGAGATCTTCACTTCCTACTGATCAGGGTAGTTCAGCCATGGTTAGAAATAGCCAATGGCACTGTTTCAGTGTAGCTATTCGCTCAGCTAAGGTGCCCCATAACAAAATGGCTTATTAGTCTAGAAAGAAAGGAACAGTTTTATTTTACTCATGACTAGATTTTTGCATAGCATGCATGGTGTTTCTGTTCTGTGGTTAGTTATGGATGCTAATGTGCTCTAGCGAAACTATTATGTTTCATTAACTATAGATTAAGGACAGTGAGGCCAAAGGATCCTGAATACATAACAGTGTATTTTACTAGCTACTTCTCCCCTCAGATGTTACCTCTTGCATCTTTTACTACGTTGCGTAATGTCTTTGCTAACAGAGAAATATCTGTAAGTGCTTTCTCTTGTACTAAGTCATATCACACTTCTGGTTTGGGGTTTGTTTTTTCATTTGGTTTAGTTTTTTTGTTTCATTTTTTGGGTTTTTTTAGTTGTTGTTGTTTTGGGGTTTTTTTAAATAAATCTTTTGAAATCACCTAAGACTTGTGAGTAAAAGGTATAAAACCACTTGTATTTTCCAAACACAAATATTAATCAGATCACCCCATGCCAACATAACCTTACAGCAGG